TACCTCACTGATTACTCCAAGCACTGTAGACCCCACAAACCTTCGCAGCTTGGTTGGGGTCTCGCCGTCCTCCACCCACCCTGGACCCAATACTAGGATCCAGCTTCCAGTGTGTGAACCTCTCCTCCAAGAGAGTATAGCTGTGAAGCTCTTACAATAGCTAGTGATTATAGCTTGTATAGCAGGTCCCTACAAACATGAGGCAAGGCTCTATGTTGATGGTGAAGTAAGACTGAATTTTAATGGTGCCACACTGGCCTCTTAAGACAATCCCCATGCAAGGGGTATGCCCACATGGACCTTGTTGGGGACTCCAACACAAAGACACAGACCAATAAGAACAGTGATTAAATGCACAACACTCCCATAACAAGATAAAATTCCTCCCCTCTCCACTCTGCCTGGGAGATAATTGAGTCAGATACTGTATCAATTCAATTATCTCCAGGCAGAAAAAACACATATTTTACAAAACCCCAAAAGTACCCCAAAACACATGACATCCCCACAATTGTTACATCCCCTGATAGCCCTGATCTGGGTGACCAACATATCCAAAAATCAACCAGATCAGTTCATGAACTCGACGACCAAACACCGCTCATTGTACTCGAGGCTTAAGATGGCCGCCGCCACGTGGTCGAATGGCACCACTTAGAATGGCTTCGGGAGTTCAAAGTGCCGCTTCAAAAGTTAAAATTTTTCCTGTTATAAGTCCAGTAGGCACAACCAGAGTTCTTAACCCAAAATTTCGATAGAAGAACCCTTACTCTGCCTTACGAGCTTCGCCTCCAAGAACACTTCAGGTACAACATTTTTTTCGCACACAGGGAGTGGTTTCTGATCAAATAGCGCCATGAAGCATATCTTCCAATCTTGACTGAGCCAAATGTACATGTTTTGATTTGCAGTGTATTTAGCTATGAAACATAATTGAGAAATGTTGCTATTTTCTTTACTTCTGCATGACATTTTAACTGTGAATATCATAATACTGTTTGCTTTTACTACAATAAAATACACATATTTGTCTTCAGCGATGTCTCACGTGTAAAACAGTACCCCCTATGTACAGGTTTTATGGTGTTTTGGGGAAGTTACAGGGTTAAATATAGTGCTAGCAAATTCAAATCTCTGGACATTCTGCCTTGGTTATAAGGAAGGTCCCACAAATTTTAATTAATAAAATTACTTATGTATAAATATTACATAAAAATATATGTAGAATTAAAAAAATTAATAATAAAAAAATAAATAATATATACACACACACACACTGCTCAAAAAAATAAAGGGAACACTTAAACAACACAATGTAACTCCAAGTCAATCACACTTCTGTGAAATCAAACTGTCCACTTAGGAAGCAACACTGAGTGACAATCAATTTCACATGTTGTTGTGCAAATGGGATGGACAACAGGTGGAAGTTATAGGCAATTAGCAAGACACCCCCAATAAAGGAGTGGTTCTGCATGTGGTGACCACAGACCACCTTTCAGTTCCTATGCTTCCTGGCTGCTGTTTTGGTCACTTTTGAATGCTGGCGGTGCTTTCACTCTAGTGGTAGCATGGGAGAGTCTACAACCCACACAAGTGGCTCAGGTAGTGCAGCTCATCCAGGATGGCACATCAATGCGAGCTGTGGCAAGAAGGTTTGCTGTGTCTGTCGGTGTAGTGTCCAGAGCATGGAGGCACTACCAAGAGACAGGCCAGTACATCAGGAGACGTGGAGGAGGCCGTAGGAGGGCAACAACCCAGCAGCAGCACTGCTAACTCCGCCTTTGTGCAAGGAGGAACAGGAGGAGCACTGCCAGAGCCCTGCAAAATTACCTCCAGCAGGCCACAAATGTGCATGTGTCTGCTCAAATGGTCAAAAACAGACTCCATGAGGGTGGTATGAGGGCCCGACGTCCACAGGTGTGGGTTATGCTTACAGCCCAACACCGTGCAGGACGTTTGGCATTTGTCAGAGAACACCAAATTCGCCACTGGCGCCCTGTGCTCTTCACAGATGAAAGCAGGTTCACACTGAGCACATGTGACAGACGTGACAGAGTCTAGAGATGCGTTCTGCTGCCTGCAACAATGCTAGACCTCATGTGGCTGGAGTGTGTCAGCAGTTCCTGCAAGACGAAGGCATTGATGCTATGGACTGGCCCGCCCATTCCCCAGACCTGAATCCAATTGAGCACATCTAGGACATCATGTCTCACTCCATCCACCAATGTCACGTTGCACCACACACTGTCCAGGAGTTGGCAGATGCTTTAGTCCAGGTCTGGGAGGAGATACCATCCGCCACCTCATCAGGAGCATGCTGACAACAAAATCAGACAAAAATATATATATATGATCTAAGTATAGATTATTTATTTTCAAACAGTTTTTAAACTTTATCAAACTTAATTACAGACAGCAAGGGGACTACCTGTCATTAATTTTGATCTTGGCTTTCTCCTGACTATTCTACGTTCTATCCTCCCTGACTCCCTGGCTTCCCTGACTCGGCTTGTCCCTGACTATTCTTGGTCTATCAGCGTATAACCTGGCCATTCTATGGACCGGTAACCGTTGTCTAATCTATTATCACATCTATTTACTGTGTGTGTTGGGTCACAAGTTATCGTGACACAGACACACACACACACACTGACAGACTTACACACTTACTGACAGACAGACACACACACAGATCCCCCCAACACTCACAGATTAGTGTTGTTTTTTTTTTTTGTTGTTTTTTATTTAAATACACCCAGCCAACCTACCTTTGCTGGGTGGATATTTTTCCCATGTGGTCCAGTGGTGCTGCTGGTCTAGCTGATGCCCGGATTGTTGTGGACACAGGCAAATCCTGTTAAAACCCCTTCAGCAGCTTACCTTAATCCAGCGCTGGGCTCCCTCTGCGCTGGTGACCTCTCCTCCCCCGCCGATGTCAACTCCCCCCTCTGATTTCTTAATGCTTTCCTATGGACGCTCTGCGCAATGGAGGCGAAATGTGCCTCCAGAGTCGCAGATGCGCCTCTAGTGGCTGTCCGGAAGACAGCCACTAGAGGCTGGATTAACCCCAAATGTAAACATAGCAGTTTCTCTGAAACTGCTATGTTTGCATCTGAAGGGTTAAAACCTGAGGGACCTGGCACCCAGACCACTTCATTGAGCTGAAGTGGTCTGGGTGACTATAGTGTCCCTTTAACTCAACCATGTAAACAGAAGACCATGTGCTCACTTTTTGTTGGTAATGGGTTTGGAGTGACTAAACATTAAATTATATTGATTTGTAAATCAAATTACAAAAGCTAAACTCGCTGATAAAAGTTATTTTTGTTAAAGGAACACTGCAAGCACCATAACCACTACAGCTAACTGAAGTGGTTATGGTCCCAGCAGTGTTCAGGTATTGCTTCACTGTAAGTAGTCAAGCAATTTTTGAATGGTTTGACTTTTTCTCAATAATGCACATAGCCCTCCATAATTGCAATAGATCTAATGTAAGCACCGGCTCAGGAATTTCTGGCTCTCCAGAATTAATAGTGGAGGTGGGAAGTGGCACCTGGTGGACTCCAGGTATAAAGTTATAAAGTCAAACTGTTTAAAGACAATTTGACTGCTTGCAATGGGGTGCACCAGGGCACTACTGGCATTATAACCACTACAGTGAGCTGTAGTAGTTACAGTGCTTGGACTGTTCCTTAATAGTGATGTCGCGAACCGTTTGCGAACTTGCCGCGAACGGTTCTCCACGAACCGTTCGCGGTGAACTCCAGTCAGCTGACACATCCCTGCCAATCTCCGGCAGACCCTCCCTCCCAGACCCTCCTACTTCCTGGACAGCATCCATGTTGAGGGCAGCTTCAACATGGATGCTGTCCAGGAGGTGGCAGGGTCTGGGAGGGAGGGTCTGCCGGAGATTGGCAGGGATGTGTCAGCTGACCGGAGTTCGCCGCGAACGGTTTGTGGCGAACCGTGGCGAACCGTTCGCGGCAAGTTCGCGACATCACTATTCCTTAAAAACAATAAGCCAATCATGTTTAGATTTTCTGCAGTATAGAGACAGTTCCAGTTAATTATTATTATTTATATAGCACCAACAAATTCTGTAGTGCTGTACGATAAATGGAGATGAGCTGAACGCACAGATCAGAGGGTGTTGGTATACATCATTTGAATATTCATGGTGATATCTGTGCAGAGCTTCTTCATATTAGTGATTCTTATTGGGCTAATAAAAAAATAGTGAAAAAGGTACTTTTATTCAAATCATTAAACAGTAACAAGCCACTAAAGGGTTCACATGCCCAAAATATAAAATGTTTGTAACTGTTGCAATTTAGTGCTGCTAACACAAAAAATAGGATGTACAAGTTATTATTATTAGTATTATTATTTGGTAAGTAAATCGATCAAACAAACTAGGGGACTTAAATAGTAATGTAATAGTACAATATGGTTATATAAATCCTCAGAAACAGGCACACACAATAAGTGAGCATAAAAATATTAATTGAATACTCCAGTCACAGCAATCTCCAAGGGAGAAAATAATTTAACACATCAGAGAATTAAAAGCAAGTAACATTTATTAAAACAAAAAGACAGTAAATGCTTACTGTGATGGTTTCTGCAGACTGTTTTTTTAATTTTTTTTTTAAACAGGGTAGATATTGAGTTTTGCTGACACTTTTACCACAGAAGTTCAATGATATTGGTGCACAATGTTTGTTTTGTTTGACGGCCCCTATTTCACCCAATCGTACTTTGAAGTTTTGCCATGCTTGGTGTCTTTAGTCATAATTGTGGAGTTCCACACTGTTTACCTTAAAGATGCTCTACTTCATGGGGGTGAGGTCAAAGTGACGTGTCAGCTCTTTCGTATTGCTTAGGACACTCCTCACTACCTTTCTTACCTCTGACTGCAAACTGCTTTCCAGCAGCCAAAGGCCCTGTCATGTCACTGCAATCATGTGCAATCATCATAGGGCCTTTCCACAGTGTACCTACGACCATCCACACAGACTTCCTGGAATTTCATGTCTAAACAAAGACATTTCACTTAAATTTTCTGACAAAGTCAAAAGTTGCCGCACTGCCTCTGATTGACATGGCTCCTTTGGAGCTGTTTTTTTTGGCGCTCTCTCTTCAAAGATTATTTTTATTATGGCAGCCATATTTTCTGGTGAATCATATTTCATCATCATGTCAAGGAAGCTGGGGTGTTTCCTGAAATTTTTGAGCAGGATGAGTCCATGCTGTCTGACCTCTGGAACAGAATCTTCAACCAAAGTGGAAATGGCTGGAAGAACCTTTTTCTTGACATCCCAAGCACCACACAGAATGTGACTTGCTCCCATTCGCTCCACTGACAGGCGTAAGAATTTGGCAGCACATTCCCTTACTCCATCATTGGTGTTTATAAGTGCAATAGTGGGGAAATTAGCCAGCACACATTCGGGTGTCAAAGAGTCGAGTGCTGTGTAAAGGGCCTTCTCCACTTTCCTTATTATAGTGGAGGTTGATATTCCAGCTTTCAGCAGCAGCCCCAAGAGACATTCATCCTGGTCATCAAGCATGCTGCTTTTCAGCTGACAGAACAAGCTCTCTAGGCAGTTGATTGCAGCCACAGTAACATCCAGCCTTATGTTTGATACCTCCTTATTCACAGCTTCTTTGATATCCTTTAGATTAGCATGTAGCAGCTGTGGTTTTGTTACTGAGAGTTTTTGAATGATATTAAGGCCTTCAATCTTCTGACGCCCTTCGTCACTAGAAACCATTTTAAATGCCTTTGAAAGGGAGGCTTTTCTAGGTGGAGGCTGTGATGGCTGTTCCAGCATCTTAACTTTATGTAACTTAGGGTGGGGGGCTGTCCTTCTTGAGGGCTCCTTTGGAGGTGATGGCTTGAAGTCACCAGCAGTAATGGAGATCCTGCTTTCCTTGTACGGTGGCATGGCATCCTTAGGGAGTTTCAAGTGGATGTTTCCTGCTTGACTTCCACTTTGAATCCCTTTCACCTTGAAATCTCTCCTTTTTTGCATCTGGTGACTTGATACAATAGGTGGCAAAGGTTGGTACGAAGACTCTTTGGATACCTTATTATTGGTGGTGGAACTTTTCATATAGTCTTTGCCCAGAGAGAGATACAAGCTCCTACGCACAGAAGACTGGTCTACTTTTGTCCTACCATGCCTGGTATAGTCCCGAGGGCAAGAGCCCATTGGCCTTGATTTAAAAAAGTCCTTCTTTTCCATATTTAGGAATAGATTCCTTTAATTTTTTTCAATAAAAGACAATATATAGCTGTAATATTCACTCACGGTTATTCACTCAAATGCAGACTCAAAAGTCAATCGCTTCTCTAGCTTGATAAGCCAAGCTGTGAGCACTCTGTGCATCACCAGGCAGTAAGGTTTTAATCCTTTGTGATGTAATAGAACAGTAACCACTACCAGTGAGGCTGGCATCATTTGGAAACCTGTATAAAAGCATATAATACTTGCTGCAGGACTATTTAAACAGTCCACAATATATTACAAATTACACCTGTATAAATATATTGGAAATAAAAATGAAATGTGTTCTCTGTTTAGTGTCATACCCAGTGCCATGCTAAAAAGCCACCAAACTAATACGGTTATTCAGTCAAATGTGAACTATTATACTATTAAGTTAGTATGCTATTCCCCAAAGATTATTTTATATGACAGAATAGAATTGGGAAGGCTGTGCTAAAATATTGGTATCACTCTATAATACTTAGCAATGTAAACCAAAATTATCAGCATTTCTTTTTTAAAGGCAAGGTACAGAAGGGGTATAAACCATAAGCACTGGTAAATATAATGGCACAGCACTTAATCCAGGACCAAAACACACACTGTACATTGTAATTTTATTTTCTATAATTCATCACTGTGAAACAAACTGAATGAGGGTAGGATTGGTATAAGCTTACTGAACACTATAACATACCTTCTACCATTTTAAATGATCAAAGAGGGTTTCTTTAAAGGGACACTATAGTCACCCAGACCACTTCAGCTCAATGAAGTGATCTGGGTGCCAAGTCCCTCAGGTTTTAACCCTTCAGATGCAAACATCATGGGGTTAAGCCACCCTCTAGTGGCTGTCATCCGGACAGCCACTAGAGGCGCATCTGCGACGCTGGAGGCATATTATGCCTCCATCGCGCAGAGCGTCCATGGGAAAGCATTGAGAAATTCTTTCCCATGGACACTTTGAATGCGCGAGCGGCGCCCTCGGGGGGGAGGCACCCATTAGGGCACTATAGTGTCAGGAAAACCGCTTTGTTCATTTTAAGGGTGTACGTAGGGGTGTGGGGTGGCCAGTGGAGATTCTGTTCAGAGAAATTTTATTTGACTTACTAATATCAATTTATGCTATAATAACTAAAATGTCATTGGTGTATTACATATACACAGACTTATTTCTAGACACATTTATAGTTGCTTTTTATTATTTATCATTAACCCACTCACCTGTTGTGGATAAGGTGTTGTGTAAATGTGGGTCATTTACCAGGTAACCTCTTGTTTTTAAAGGGTCCAACACTTATATTTGTCAGTGTCAAGGTTAGAGCTATGTAGAGCTATGTTTCACTGGTAACACTGGAAGTGTCAGTAAGTAATATTTAATGTTAATGTCCTCTCCCTTTTTTACTAAATTGTGTATTAAATGAAAACTCCAAGCACCATAACTACTACAGCCCACAGTAATGATTAATGTGCTAGTAGTGCTTTGAATCCATCCCTCCATAACCTGTCAAGCCATTTTGAGCTGCACAAGCCGATGTCAGCCACATGTCAAAAGATAGGAACTCTCAGCCATTGAATGACTTCTTATCTTTAGCAAAAATTACATGCAGCTTGCACAGCTCACTACAGGCAAGCTCACTGACACCGCAAGTTCACTACAGACAAGCTCAATGAGCTCATTGACACAAACACACAATCACTATCAGTCATTGGAGGCTGAGCAAAACTACAAGTACCTGTTATTGGCAGGTTCTCAAGGCAGTGTAAGGTTTCTCCCATAGACATAGAATACATAGACGCCGCATGTCTATGTCATTGCGTGCTGAGCGTTGAGGAATGCGGGCACCATCTTGGACCAGTCGCCGCTCTACTGAAGCTATTGAAGAACCCTTGGAAAGTCCATCTCACAAAAGGTAAGTGAAGGACTTGGGGCACTTTAGTCCTTAATACCCCTACCCCTAGTCCTTAATACCACTACAGTGTTAATACCCTTACCCCTAGGCCTTAATACCCCTACAGTGTTAATACCCCTACCCCAGCACACTATGTGTATTAACACTGTGTGTGTAGGGGTAGGCTGGGGTAGGGGTATTAACACTGTAGGGGAAGAGGTATTAAGGACTAGGGGAAGGGGTATTAAGGACTAAAAGTGCCCCAAGTCCTTCACTTACCTTTTGTAAGATGGACTTTCCAAGGGTTCTTCAAAAGCTTAAGTAGAGCGGCGACCGGTCCAAGATGGTGCCCACATTCCTCGCCGCTCAGCACGCAATGCGGCGTCTAGGTATTCTATGTCTATGGTTTCTCCATCTAACAGGTTAGCACTTCCTGTGTGAATGGTCAGTGGGCGGAGATCCAGTGCGGGGGTTGGTCCTGTGGCCAAATAGAGCTGGAAACTGCCATGAGGGATTTGTGAGAGAGGCTTAAAGTCAGGGCCGGCGCAATGATTATTGCCGCCCCATGCAACAATCCATTGTGCCGCCCCCTCATGAATGTAACTGCATTCTCTCAGAGGTTTATTCACTAAACTCTGAATTTCAGTGAAGAGACATTTAGGGAAGCAGACGCACTGTGAGAAATGTAGGGAATGGAAACAGCCTGGGGGACATTTAGGGAAAGGATAGAGAGACTGTTGAGATATTTAGGAAACAGAGGATGGGAGACTTTAGGAGAGAGACACAGTGATCAGACATTTAGGAAAAGAAATAAACACACTGCCCAATATAAACACACTCATTCACTATATACATCCATATACACAGTCTGCCAAATACATTCATCCATCCATACATGCTGCCTATAACATACAATTAACCATACACACACAGCCTAATACATAAATACACACACACTCACACTTCCCATTACATACATACATACACACACACAGCCTAATAAATATATCTATACACTCATACTGCCTAATACATATATCCATACACACATATTCCCATATATATAGCTATACACTCATACTGCCTAATACATACATCAATGCCTTTGGTGACGTTTAATTTATAATAATAGTGGGCTTTAATTTACATTACAGTGAACTTTAGGTAAAACATTTTTTTTTCAGTTTAATATAGAATATTATTATATAATTTAAATATTATTTTATATATTTAATTATATAAGGATCTCTTTACATGGTCACACACACACACACTATCACACACACTTTCGCTGACATACACACAATCACACTCACACTCTCACCAACACACACATACTCTCACTTACACACGCACCAACTCTCACACAAATATAAACTCACACCACTTTTCATAAAGTCACATTTTATTTACACACACAAACAGCAACTTAACACACACACACCAATTTTCAGCCATGCACACAATAATACGCCTCCAGATATTCCATACCTGGGTGCTATGATTGGAGAAGGAGGGCTGCAGGAAGTTGTCCTTTGTTTCTGCTGTGTGAGCAGGAGAGCAGTGACCTTTGTGCACAGACTGATTCCTGCCTCTTTGAGAAATTTCCTGTGTTCACAGGCAGGGGGCTGCCTGGATATCAGGTCATGTCCTTGCTTTCCCTGCCTGCAGCAAGCATTGTGTTCTGCTCGGGTGCTGCGGTTACAATAAACCACTTACCAAGCAGGTAATCAGCAGAGAGGAGCCCATCAGATGAATGGCTGTGCTGGGGGATGGCTGAGGCGCCCCTCGCCCAGCACACCAGCCCTAGACAGCAGCAGGGCAGCCCACCAGGAAACCTTTAAGTGGGAGCCCCCATGAGGTCGGGACCCAGGCGAATGCCTTATTCGCCTAATTGTAGCGCGGACCCTGCTTACAGTGCTCTCTCACTCCTCCCTGCTGATAGCTGGCTGCAGACTTTGCCAGTGTATTGGCTGTAGGCAGCCTCAATGCAGCCACCTAGTTAGGTGCACCAGCCCCCAACACACGGTAAAAATAAAATTTATTGATGTTTGTAATGTGCTGCACTTCCTGGCCCCATGTGCCTTGGTCCACCGGGAAATTTCGCAGTATCTCGGTGGGCCAGTTTGCACCCCAGATAATACAGCACTCTGTATCCCCCATCCTAGATAATACAAAATCCTATAGCCCCACCCAAGATAATACAGTACCCTATATCCTCAATCCCAGATAATACAGCACCCTGTAGCCCCCCACCCCTGATAATACAGCACAATATATCCCCAACACCACAGATAATACAGAACCCTATATGCCCCATGTACGTATGTATGTACTACTTGTACTAAATAAATAGCTACTGTTCACTTTAGACCTGGGATTCCCTGTTGTTCCTTTGATACAAGCTGGTGAAAACACTCTGCATACATAAGAGGAGTCCAGAGCCAACTTATGATAGGCTTTGAAAATTGTGAGTGTACTGATCTTGTATATACCAATTGCAAACATTTATACAGGCTATACTATGTACTGCTTTATTTCCTGTTTAATATAGGAAACAGTGCTACTCATAAAGAGATACTTTTTACCAAGTGATTATTTCAAGGTAAATGGTATGTATGCGCTGAACACCTTTATTTGTTTTATTGCATATTGTATTTTAAGTGTATTTTAGTGATTGCACACTTGTTTTTGTAGCAGCACCAACTTTTAGAGCCACCTATTCCTTCTTTCCTTTTTTTTTTCTCAATTATACCACTCACGCCTTATTCACTGAGCGGTTCGTCTGCTCAAACTAATATGAGTAAATTACTTTTATTTTATGCTCCTGGTTCCTTATATATCGAGAGCACTATTGTTATTTTTTATCTCCTTTTGGGGTTTTATGTTTACCATATCGCTGTGGAAACCAGTGACTACACCACCATACATTTTCCATAGGTGGGGATTATACCACTGTATGCCCTCCAAACTAGAGATGGTTATGAGCTATAGAAAAAGTCTTGTATATCTTTTCGGATCCCAGATACTGACTTATGTCACTTAGTCACCAGTTTGTCCAACATGGCATCTAAGAGTGTTTGTAAGACGCTTTGGGTCACTGGTATGTTTTTTTGGAAATGGGAACACAAGTGATGAGTGGCAGTCTTCCAAGCTGCCGTTTTGGGTATGCTTTTGAAGCAGGGTAGGTCATTTGGGTACCCCGAGATGCAAAAAAAGTTAGCTTTTTTGGCTTTTTCAGTTGCCTTCTTGGTTTCATACTATGACATTGTTATTGGCAAAACTAAGTGCTACTGGATTAGCTAGTTTAATGCTTGTAAGGGCTTAGCTGTGGTGGAGCTCCTCTCTCAAGCAACCATTCTCCTCAAAGTCCATACAACGCCCCCCCATTCTTATTTTTTTGAGTGTGAAGCTCTCTTTCCCCTCTTTTCTGTCGCTTTTGTCTGTGTTTTCCTATTATTTAGTTCTTGCATAGGCTGTGACGCCATTGTTTTGTTTGAATCCATCTCACTCAGCTGTTCTCACTTATCCTCAGATGCTTCCTGTCAGACACTAGCGTTTCTGATGGGAAAATTTTGCCAGTTATATTAGCTGCATTTTCCCACACATTTTATTTACAGTTAGCTATTTTAATTCATACATTATTTACTCATGATTTATTCTTTATTCAGTTATTATATTAACTAGCTGTTATACTGATACTTATATTAGAATGACTTCTAAGTCCCAGCCAGGAAAAAGTTCAGAGGGAACTTCTACTACTGAACTACCTACTTCAGACATAATTGGATGAGTCAATTGATAAAGCTGAACAAAGAGAATAGGGAAATACTTCACTGTGCTCCAGCCACTTACCCTTTGCCCGTTGAAGCAGCTGAGGAAGGAACTCCATACCAGCAAATCTGCCCGCAAACATCGCGTTACCAGGATGTAATGATGGGGCTCCCTCACACTCCCTCGGCAACGACAACTGGTGACAGAACGCCCTCCCCATAGGCAGAACCCGACACGCGAAGACCAGGTGACCCAGCAACGCCTGCATTTGGCGCAGTTGGACCTTCTTGGACCCCCTGACCAGATTCACAAGGCACAACAAAACCACCAGTTTTCCATCCGGAAACGAAAAATCATCCAAACGGAGTCGATTTCGATACCTTAGAAAGACAAGACCGATACTGGACCGACCATCTTGTGTTCGGCAACTGGTACCCCAAAATTGGAAGCCGCGCGCCAGAAAGCCTGCAACAAGTAAACACAATCCTGTGAACCATTAGGTCCGGCGAAAAAGAAATCGTCCAAGTAATGAGTCAAGGACCCTAAGCCAGACGCACTTGCTGTTACCCACTCCAAAAACGAAGCAAACAGTTCAAAATAATAACAGGAAAGGGCACAGCCCTTCGGCATGCACATGTCATAGTAGTAAAACCCGTTAACAAAACACCCCAACAAATGAAAACAAGCCAGGTGTACCGGCATCAGTCTGCCCTTCTTAAAGCAGCGCAGCGCCGGATGTACTCCTCCACAGTGGGCACACATGCCTAAATCTGCAGGAGCTGAACCATTTACAATGGCTCTCATTGAAGAGCCAACATACTCCCTTTCTATGTCCTGCTGACGTCCCGGCTGGCACGCTGGCAGTCCCTGGAAATGGAGACGGGCGACATGGGGTCATGAGTAGCAGCCACAGACTGTCGTCCTGCACCCCAAAATCCATGCCCGGGCACACCGCCATCTTTTGGCAGAATTGCTGGTCATATTTAAACCAGCATTGTCCGCCATAGACCTTGTATGCCCCCAAAATCAAGTTGAAGTACCCGAACAATGAGGGGACCCACTCTGGGAAACGACGCACTAGGATACTTGCAAAGATGATAAATCCCTGCAATCAATTACCGAACTTCCGAGGGAGTGCCCTACCTTTCTCACCTTCTAGCTGTTCACCACGCTGTGGTTGGTCCATGGACTCCTTGTCCGGGGAAACCAAAGAAAGCAAATCCATAAACTCACCTTGCAGAATCCTGTCCTGGACGTCCGGTGGCACATTCCTAGAGGGGACAACTCACATAAAGGAATACATGGACGATAGGCCCTATCCCAGGGACCTTTACTCCCTTCCTGACTGGAGGGGGCCTGCCCTAGCACCCCTGACCCAGTACCCTTAGTCTGACCTCTACCTACCAACAACCTAAGCACAAAATGTCACTGTCCTGCCCAGGCCCCCTGCAGTACCCCAAGTGCAGGTCAACTCATCGAAGTGCGGCAGGCTCACTGCTCGCGGCTCCTCCAGCCCAGCTCTCTCCTCCTCTGAGTCTTCATCCAAAGCTGTCTGTAGCCTTCCAGCGTCCAGCTGTGCTGTAGCTGACAAGGTCTCCCAACCGCCGGTATTTCGGCCTACCAATCCTGGGACTGCCACCCGTGACTTTTTGACGGCTCCGCACCTGTTAAAAACATTCTGAAGATAATTTTTAAAAGGGACTAAGGAAATCGAGATAAAATGCATTCACCACACAATTCTAAATTTGTGTGGAAAGAAATTACCCTCCACCAGAGAGGAAATTAAATGGGAGAAAAAAGATCCAAATATCAGTAATTGCTTTCATCCTCTAGTGAGCGTTCATCTAGTTTTGGTCTGATACTTTAGACTAGAGAATACTGATTCTGACAATTACTTTGATGAGTCTGACTTTGAAATCAAGCCATTGAATAAGGATGATGAAAAATCTTCACAATTATTACATGTCCCTTTTTGATCCTGACTAGATTGGACATCCTAGGTCCTCTGAATGGACACCTCTACCCCATGTTTCAAATACATGACAACCTAGATCAGGAAGCTAATGCAAAGTGTTGCAAACTATAGGCGGAATGCTCCAGACCAACCATATCTTATAAAGTATGAACAATCCATGAATTATACTAAAATATATTCAGTTCTTAAGTAAGTTTGTGGAGCATCCATGAAAAGGTTTGGAAAGATTTTTAAAGGCCTACAAAGATAAATTAATGGACATTGCTGGTCTGTTAACAAAAATATTTGATTTTAGTTAAACAGGCTATACAGTCAGGACAGACTTTATTATTATTATTAGTGCCTCTACCTACTGCCAATGGGTGGCACTAGGTCGTCGTCACCCGCTGCTAAATATTGTGATAGCCCCTACCCATTAGTATACACAGCATCTGGAGTTGAGTATGATTATGTTGCTGTCCTGTAGGTGTACACACACACACACACACACACACACATATATATATATATATATATATATATATATATATCATATTTAAGTTACATTAAATACCAAAGAACAGTACAGCTTTGGCTGTTGCAGTGCCCAATTCTGTGAAACTTCCCTGTCAGCATCCATCCTCACCTCCCATCCCTTCAAGCATTTAGTAACCATGGAAACTTTTAAGCATCAAACCATTTCAGCAATTAACTTCACTTTCTGGCACAGTGCAAGACATTTTCTTACCCACTACAGGCACTAATCACTGTTTTTCAGATGTACATCTCCCAATAAGTAGCTTTTTTGCTGTACATTTAAATTGTACATGATTTTTAGCATTTGGTATGAAATATCTTAATTTGTAAGTATTTCACATATATTACAAGTTCAGCAGGCTAGGCTTATTAAATATTTAAAGTGAACCTGTCATTTAAAAAAAAAAAAAAAATGTTAAAATGCTTTTAACTAGTGTCCCATTCCCTTGTTATTGGTTTGTAAATATAGCAGCTATTTTAGTTAAGTGCCTTCTTTTGAGGGCTGTCAAAGGCATAATCATGATGTTAATTAGTTTAATAATTCTACTCTTAAAAATGAAACACAAGACCAACCCACTGAGTTCTGCAGTGATTATAGTTCTTATAGTTCATTTTGTGTCAGGCTATAATTCAGTCAAATTTGGGCTGAGCAGATGATTAACTAAAATCCTGATTTTTGAGCCACCACATGTCAGAATCTCCTAGTGCTGTTCCTGGCACTAGAAAAAAAGGGGGATGAGTGAAGAAGAGGCAGTTTTTTGGGGTAGGGGCAAATAAGCTACCTTGCTGAGCCTGGGTCATTAATTCTAGTGTAAGACTAGGTTTAGCTTGCTGCTGTTTCTACCCCTGCTGCTGCCTGATGTACTTGGAACAACTCGGAGTGCGAGATAGGAGACTGCCATTTTGACATTAAACCTAGTGTGACATTTAGTTACCAATATACAGTTATTAAAAGTGTTTTTTTTTATTTGTAAACACCCCATTTTTGTGGGGGAGCATTTGTTGTTCAGTAAAGAAAAATGTCATTCTGTATGTGTGTATTTGCTTTTGTATCACACAGCAATGTTAAAGTGTTGCCTCCCACCCCACATGTTCCCTATTAAGGATTAAGAAGTGTGTAGAGGTTTCTAAAAAAAAAAAAACTGTATCATTACAGATTTTGCCTTTTAGCTAAAAGAAGCAAGGTATATTGTTAGTGCAGGACTCACTAAAGAGGTTTGCTTTGATGGAGCACGTGAGCTTATACTTTAATGGACATTTATTTAAGTGTGGACAGTTATTTATTTATTCATTTTTTGCTTAATGGCATTTTATTTAAATTAAAAAAAAGCCATAATAAAGACATATGCACAGTAATTAAATAATGAATAATAAACTCATAGCATACATAACCTCAAATTGCCTTGTTTTAGCAGAGGACCACTAATATTTAACTCCACCAAATAACCAATATAAAATATGTTTCAGCAGAGTTACCATCTAGGCATACTATAAGACATTGTAAACCCCCCCCCCAAAAAAAACCCAAAGAATATACATTTGCTATACAAATTCTCTCAAAAACATACAGCAAGAAGAAAGAGAGAGAAAATAGCAAGACCGCAATATAAGATGTATATATTTCAATCATGATTATTAAATACTATATAGGAATATTTTACTATAAAGATTGAAAGAGAACGTGTGGAAAGTAATTTGTCAGTAACCGAATTAACAGCTCAAACTTAATACCGACCAATGTTATTCATCTAACCAATTGAGCATTCCTGTGTTCATTTTAATCAGTTGGATGGTGTAGGGAGAACAAATCAGTTATTTAAATGTGCATAAGGATTTGGGACAGTGCGCAAGTAACTTTTATTTGTTTTAGATCTATGTATTGGGGGCGATGTGTACTATAGTCATTGCCGCAGCCCAAGAGTAGTGGGAGTTTGAGCAAAGGGCATTTCTGTAATTTTGTATGTTTATAAGGTTCTAAATGAGTCTGAATATAGTCTGGATTTCAGGTTTAAAAATCTGAACTATTTGCCCACTGGTAGCACTAACAACGAGCAGACAAATAGTAAAAAAAAGGGGTGGGGCCTGGCTGTTGAGCTGAGTGGATGCCTGTAGACACAGCTCCTGCTCTCACTGGCAAATAAAGCGACAAAATCACCAAACTACAGCGAGTACTCAACTCACAAGGACCACTGAGCTACTGGTGACACCCGGGCGAATCAACGGGTACTAAACATGCCACAATTGAAGCGAGAATCGCCCGAGTACGGAATGCGCCTACAAGCATGGCCGGCGCGGAGGAGGCGGCCTCTCCTCTGATGCCATTCTCGACTGGACACTCGATATTGGACCCTCGTTCCCCCCCTTTTGGACCGGCGGGCGTCATCCCGGTCCCCATCGATAAGCAGCAGGTTCTCGCTCACACCCTCACAGCCTGCAAAGACCCAGACCCAACACAAAGCGGGCCTGACACAAATGTCACCTACAGATGCAGGCCACGGTGACGACATGATCAAGCACTCCCTCCGACGCATAGACAAGGCATTCCAGCGCTTCTGGCAGCAATTGGAGCAGTGTATGGCACTGCAAGCACCGAGGCCTATGCGGGAGGTGAAAGAAGCCGAGATGAAAGGGCCGAGCGAGCCCCGCTTGGGCAGACCCCAGCCTGGAGCACACACCACCCAGGCTCCCTGCCTACCTGGGCCGAAGGCCAAGAGTGGTAAACCCCCACAGCATCGCCCACGACGCCGGAGAAACGCCCGCCGCTGGCGGCTTCCCAATCTCAGGGTCCTCCGCAGCGTCCACGAAACACCTATATGATCATCACGCAGGACCACAGAGTGGATTCCCTCATACAGCACACCAGTGGCATAGGGTGAGAGATCGCAGCCCAGATACCAGCTTTGACACAAAACAGGACTTTGGACGCTCCCTCACTACTATAATAGACTGTAAGCCTAGAGTCATGAATGCCTCTTCATTTTAACTACCTAGGCCTGGTCATTTACTTTTACGTTTTATTGGCTTTTATTGTCGACAACTCCATAAGCTTGCCCTAGCATTGTTCCAGGTTCCTATGAGGATCTCTTTTTCTTTTTAACATGCAAGCAATGTGACCTAATGCTACCTAAACCAACAGCCAGCCTAACCCGTTAGCTATGCCTATCTTATACCCAGAGTGCACAGTATGTCTATGCCTTACTACATAGTATCTTGCAAAACACTTCTGACATCCCTATCACGCTTGTTTTACAATTTTGAATATACGCCGAATCTATGGAAAATGGCTCTGTTGGCAATAGCCCTACAAATGCCTGATATGTGATGTATTGCTAGCTTGTACTATTTCCTAGGGCAACACAACCTGCTTATAGATCGCAGACACTGTAGATAAATACCTAACATGCTCTACACATAATGCACTAAGCTTGTCTCTTCTCAAACTTGCTTTAGGATAGGAGCAGTCAGAGTAATCTTTCACTATAGCACGCTACAGCTGAGTTTAGCCCGTGTGAATATGTTTAACGCTATGAATCTGTGGCAGAATCCTGTTACTTTAATCAGAGCGCTTAACCTGTTGTGCCGTAAGCTACCAATACCATATTGACATGTACTGAGCGAGAGCCTGAGTTGCTTAACACATAGCATGACTAACCTGTTATATTGTACACATGAAACCTACCATTTGAGCAATTACTAACTGACCGTAACACCCATTTCTTAAACAATTGCTTGTAATACTATGTTTACTTGACGTTTCAAAAACAAAAAATATCTGGCAGTCCTTAGTAGGAGTGTACTATGTACCATCTTGTTTTCATCAACTTGTATTATCCCATACTGCCTCCTCTCTTTATTCGGTAGCCCATAACGCAAATGCCATAATAAAAGAAAGATTAAAAAAAAAAAAAAAAGTAAAAAATAAACTTGGTGGCGACTAACCAGTGAATCTGTGAATATTTTTTTTATGTTTAGTAGAAGTGCCCCCACCTGTTGCATAAAGCCTAACTTTACAGCCCCATTGGCATTTTTTCTTTCTTTCTTTCCATTCACATATTATTGAAGAACTTGGTAAACTCAGTTAGTTAGCAGTAGGTTATAAATGGACAGTAATTCAATTATTAAAGCAAATGAGCATTGAGTAAATAAATGTGGCTATCTTTGAGTGCGTATGCAAGCTTACTGATCATTAGAATTAGAGATTTGTTTCCTTACTAACTGTAATTGGTCTAATTTGGGCCGATCAACGATTGTATGAATTCCCAAACTCCAAGCCAAATCACAAACCATACTAATCTAAGTGAACAAGCATGTTTGTTTTGATTCCGAATTTGTGGTGCCAAAAACATACATGACTGAATGGAAAAAAGAAGTTTGGTATATAGGGGATAGCCACTAAATATTGATTTTACTCACTGATCAAACAAGAAGTGACCAATAGAGGGTCACTTCTAAATATATATTTTTCCTGCTTTTCCTCTTTATCCCTGTATTGGTTACTTTTTCTCACTTGATCTGTGAACTAAATGGTGGGAAAATGTGCCCTGCAAAATATATATATATATATACACATAAAATACAGAATCCAGCGCACTCGCTTATTCACTAAACAATGATTTCAAATCTTAGAGATTGTAATAGTTTTATTTAAAAACACCTCACCTAGGCAAAATATAATGGGGGTTTAGTTACATTATATGATCATACATTGCATAAGCCTGCCAACTATGTCAAAGTACCCCATATTCGGCAGGTCCAATCCTAGTAGCAGTCTAATGCTTGCTCTTATGAGATTAATCCACTTACTTGGGAAATACTTCCTTACTGGGACTCTCTGCAAGTCAAGGCTAAATAGGGTCCTGGAATGAGGCACCTGTGACAGAGAGGGGTGCAAACCCATGGAGTTGGCCTGGGACTCCCAAATATATAAAATAAACCAAGAGGGCTGCACTCACCTGAACATGCATACATTATAGGGTGCTGCTGGGGCCAAAATATACAAAAATATACAAAATACAGAATCCAGCGCTGGATTCTGTATTTTGTATACTTTGGCCCCAGCAGCACCCTATAATGTATGCATGTTCAGGTGAGTGCAGCCCTCTTGGTTTCTTTTATATATATATATACACATATATATATATATATATATATATATATATATATATAAAATAAATATTATGTATATATTTAGCAGGACACATATATATTGCAGTACACCGATTGGCCCATTTTTGTGTCCTTTTGGTCCGTCTGATTAGTTTTCCTGAATCTGTTTTCAATAACAAAATTTGGAGGAGCCAAATCACCATTTGGCTGAGCTTTGTCTGTCCCTAGAATTTTATTTATTTTTGGACAAAGTGGCTTGGCCAAACATTTTGTTTTTCACATTCTACTGAGTCTACTGAGCATTATAGGAAATGCAGTTCATAAACATCTGCTATTTGAAGAGTGACATGATTCATTGTCCAATGAATCTGATAAGTTCCAAAAGAGCTTTAGATTTTTACTGTAGTTTAGTATATATACATATATAAAAAACTAACAAGAATATACCATAACCTTTTATTTATGGGAAAAAAAGACAGTTGTCATCAGCACCAGGTTGAAGGTGGTTTTGTGAAAGACCGGCAGATTGTCTATTATATTACAATATGTTGAAGCATGACACAGAAACAGCTTATTAAATTCTCATGTACGTCAGCCACAAAAAATGCCGCAGAATTCACTACAAATGGTGTTATATTTTTACATAATTTGCAATGTAAAATACAATTTAAAAAGCTGCTAGAAAAGTTTTACATATAAGACATCAGTTATGTAAACTACTTATGAGCACAGTTATTTCACATTTGAAGAATAGTGGCATATTCAAATTTTAAGAACTCCACTCTCTAAGAATTGTTTTCGTTCCCTGTTTTTAATGCAGTCGAGGAAGCAGCTGCTCCAGAGCCAAGAGAAGTTCGAGAGGTAAGTCCTCTCACTCCTTTAAAAACAAACAAAAATTATCATTAGTAATTATACATTTATTACGGTTTGGGCAATTGCTTATGTTTTATTTCTATGTCCATATAATATTCATACATGGATATATAGACTTTAATGTTCCCTGTTATAAGTAATTGAACAATACAGCTGCCCAGTATGTTTACATAAAAACAAATAGGCATTTAGTTGACTGCCGGTTCAGCCTGTAGTACATCGCAGCAAAATATCATGATGATTTATACATAAATTCATAAAATATACACCTAGAAAGCTTTTTGTTTTATCCAATGTAATACATATTGGTACGTAGGATATAACGCATGTCAATTCAATATTTCTTTTTAGAGCTAAATGGTTAATCTAGTATTTCATTCCAACACTAGTAGTTATCCTCACTTCTAAATTACAGCTTTGATTCAAAAAATTTAAATTTGTATTCATGTACCTAAACAAATTAATCAAAAAGCATTTTTTGGCTGACAGTGATACAGTTTATATGTCCACTTATGCACTATTTAAAGAAACACTCCAAACATCATAACCTTTATAGTGTGTTATAGTGGTTATGGTGCAAGTTATGCCATGGAGCCCTCCCATTTTAAGGAGTCAAACATTTTAGAGCATTTGACTACATGGGTGCTTTATGTGTTCCGCTGGGAACTCATCGCTGCTTCTCCTACAGCTTAGTGAGAGCAGTAAGCTCTATTCACTAATCTAAGCCCAAAGGTGAAGAAATTAGATAATTGACTGAGAACATTTAGCGGATGCTCTCAGTCAATGAGCTATCCTGACACTGCAGAGCTTAGCTCAGGAGAGCTAATGGAATCTCTGAGCAGGATCTTCTGGCTGTAACTGAGCTTTAGTGGAGGCAGGGAGTAGCATCTAGTGGACCCCGGTCAGGGCCGGCCTTAGGCCTTTGGGTGCCCTGTGTGAAAAATCTTCACAACGCCCCCTCCTTCCCGTCCCCCCCTTCCCACACATCCTGTCTCACACACACACACGCAGACAGCCACACGCAGATAGCCACTCGCACACACAGATATAGAAACATAGAATGTGACGGCAGATAAGAACCATTTGGCCCATCTAGTCTGCCCAGACAGTCACGCATAGGCAGTCACACACACAGAGGCAGCCAGCCACACACAGAGAGTCACACACAAACACACAGGCAGAGAGCCACACACAAACACACAGGCAGACAGCCACACACAGACAGCCACACAGAAACACACAGGCAGACAGCCACACACAGACAGACACACAGAAACACACAGGCAGACAGCCACACACAGACAGCCACACACAAACACAGAGGCAGACAGCCACACACAAGCATACAGGCAGAGAGCCACACACAAACACAGAGGCAGACAGCCACACACAGGCAGACAGCCACACACAAACACACAGGCAGACAGCCACACACAGACAGCCACAAACAAACACACACGCAGGCAGCCCACACACAAACACAGAGGCAGACAGCCACACACAAACACAGAGGCAGACAGCCACAGGCAGACAGCCACACACAAACACACAGGTAGACAGCCACACACAGGCAGACAGCCACACACAAACACACACGCAGACAGCAACACACACACAGGCAGACATAGAAACATAGAATGTGATGGCAGATAAGAACCATTCGGCCCATCTAGTCTGCCCAGACAGTCACACATAGACAGTCACACACACACAGGCAGGTACACACACACACAGGCAGTCTCACACACAGGCAGACAGTCTCACACACAGGCAGACAGTCATACACACAGACACAATCATACACACAGACACAGTCAGACACACAGACAGACAATCATACACACACACACAGGCAGACAGTCAAACACAGACAGTCACACACACAGGCAGACAGTCAAACACAGACAGTCACACACACAGGCAGGCAGTCAAACACACAGACAGACGGTCACACACACAGTCAGACAGCCACACACACACAGGCAGACAGTCAAACACACAGACAGTCACACACACAGGCAGACAATCACACATAATTACCTCTGTTCTTTGTTGAGGCAGACATGCAGACAGCTCCTGGATTCTGGTTGTTGGGGGAAACAGGGACTCCTTCCTGCTTCCCCTGCAGCAGTTACACTGCACTTTTAGCTCTGCCCCGCCGCACGGTAAACCGGCCCCTGCCGCATGGTAAGCCCCGCCCCCGCCACAAATTTTTTTTATTTTTATCCTGGCCGGCCATGTGTGAGCTGTGTCGACCGCACGGCGCACCCTGCTTCATGACGTCCTGGGCATTCGCACACCCCTAAGGCCGGCCCTGACCCCGGTAAGACATAAAGCTGTTCTAAAAAGAGCGTTGTAGAGGTTATAGTGCTTGGATTGTTCCTTTAAATCTTAATTTTACTTTGACTTGTAAGAACTTAACACTATATTGCTGTCGGTGCAAAGACACATAGCTGCTTTAGATAAATTGAATGCCATCAAAGAATTTACAGCTCAATTAAAATAAATATGTTTACAGATAATGTCTCATGTATGCCTCAAACGATGATGAAATGTAACAAAACTGGAATATTTACATTGATTTTATGTTGCATTGATTTGCCATCTCCATTAAAACACCAATCACATTGACTAATAGGAAAAGCATCTCATGATCCAGTGCAATGTAGATGCCCAAAACACTAGAAAAAAAAGAAAAAAGAAAACCTAAATGGCATGGTTCCTGGAAGCCTTATCTGGCAGAAGTTGAAAAGAGAGAAATTATAACTTCTGTCTTTTTTGTCCCTCATAGGCACCAC